GGGGCAATAAAGGCACGAAGTGACTGGCTTACAAGGTTTCAAGAGGGAGTTTAGTTTAAGAATATGGGGGAAACAAAGAGTCCTCACTGAATAGCTATTATCTTGTCTAGATGGGTCTGGTGAAAAGAGATGGGGATAAGATTCAAAAGATTCAATAGTGAGTAACTGTTATCATGACTAATCACCACTGTCACAATTATAAAGGTAGAAGTTTTGTAACAAAAAACAGGGAGTGGTTCATCTTACAGTCCAGAAACAGAGGATCCTAGGACAATCAAGAGAGAAATGAATAAGCAGAATGCGGGACCTTATCCAGAGAAACAGCGCCAGAGATGGGGGGGGGGCATAGAGAGGGGGAGTAGCTGAGGACTCTAGATTCATGGACTATGAAGAGAAGGACGAATTGCTGGTGGCCAGGAGCAGACTTGCAGAATGTGCCCTTTGTAGATGTAAACTAGTATATATATGCCTGAGTGGTTTTCTTTTTTGTTTGTTTTTTAAAAAGCTAAAGTGAATAGTGAGAAATACTGTTAACTGATGGTACATGGAGGATATTATAATCAATGTAATGAAACAAGGTATATGGTTTGTTGAATGTAAAACTATTGATATGCCCTGTAAACTTTCACTCAATCCACAATAAAAACCTTGGGGGAAAAAAAAAACAAAACAAGTATTACCAGGGATAGAGAGAGACATTTCATAATAATGTTGTGACGTGTCATTAAGTCAGTTCTGACTTGTAGCAACCCTGTACAGGGATTCCAAGACTATAAATCTTTAAAGGAACAAAGTCTCATGTTTCTCCTGCTGAGCACAGCTGATGGATTCAAACCACTGACTTTGTGATTAGCAGCCCAACCAATAACCCACTATGCCACAAGCCTTCATAATAATAAAAGGATTAATTTAATCTGAAATGTATATGCACCAAATAATAAAACTAAAATCAAACAGCAAAAACTGAAGAAATGAAACAAATCCACATTACAGAATGAGACTGTAATACTTCTGTTCAAATCCCAAAACATAAAATGAGGTAAAAAATCCTTGAATTATTAGGGAATGGATATATAAATGATAATATATCCATATAGTAGAACACTACCCAATAATAAATAGGAACAACTACACATGAAATAGTTCATCAATGTATCTCAAAGGCATTATATTACATGAACGAAGCCAGATAAAACAGACTATATATTGTATGATTTCATTTTATAAAATTTCCTGAAAATGATATGTGCTTGCATCTTAAAAAGAATAAATAAAATATATCATCAATTAAAAGGTAGGGGAGGAATGACTCCAAATGAGGCTGGATCTTTTTGGGGTTGTGGAGAGCAGTAGTTGCATGACTACACAAATACACAAACATCTGTTAAAACTCAGATGAATCAATCATACACTTAAGATTAGTGAATCGGAATCAACTCCATGGCACATAACAACAAACACTTCAAAAGTACCCATATATGATGAAAAAACTAAGAAACTGCTCCAGATTAACAAAATAAGACAACTAAATTTAATGTGTGATCCAAAATTGAAATCTACATGGGGAAGGGCTAGAAAAAGAATTACTGACAAAATTTTATTACAAACTATAGTTTTATACTTATTGTTGTTGTTAAGTGCTGTCAAGTCGATTCCAACCCATACTGACCCTGTATAGAGTTTTCAAGGAGCAGCTGGAGAGCTTGAACCACCGACCTTGCGGTTCAGAAGATTTTGCAATCTGATGCATTAGCCCACAGCGCCAGAGCAGGACTCTAGAGCTTCATAAAGTTTGTGAAATAACTATCACCTCTGAATTCCACTTTTCACTGAACGTTTTGAATCCCCCTCATGAGTATTAAAAAATGTCCTAATTTTGTTAACAGTCTACTGTTATATATATGTACATCTTCTTTGTTCTTGAAAAACACATACTGAATTATACACATATACCAGGATATGAAGTCCACAACTCTTTCTCAACTGGTTCAGATATATATGGAAAAATAAAACACATACTGCAAAACTGTATTCACTGGTGAACTTGAAAATAAGAAATTTATATTATTACACTTTACAAAAACAAAAAACCACCTTATACTTACTTGTTGCCACATAACCCAGTTGTGGAACTAAATGTTCATCTGCAGAATTTTCTCGACCAGGTACTAATCTCTGATACTTAGTTGGATGAGGATTTCCATCTACATCTACCAAGAATGGTGGAGGCATGAGATGAGGAGCCTGCTGTGTTTGCTCGTCTAAGACATAATTATTAGAGTCTCTAATCAATGGTCGGTAGTCAGTATGGAAGAACATCTGATCGGGAATCTAGAAAAGTAAAATACTGATTGGCATTTTTGAGGTTTATATATGTTAAAGAAAAAATTATTAAATGAAGCTTTAAATGATAATTTAATACAAGAGAATCAGTAAGTAGAGCTTAAAAAGGAACTTCTGGAAGTCTTGCAACTACTCATTTTGTATGCTAAAACAAAGTATTTTGAAATAACCTTTTCATAGGGTTTGTTGCATCCAAAACCAAATATCATAAGGTGCCCATGCGAATCTGTACAAGCAAAATGCTGTCCATCCTGTGAAAACTTACAGTCAAACACAGCTCCAAATCCTTGTCCTTCAATCTAGGAAACAGAAAAGGAAGTTATAACCAAACCTATGCAATACTCCTTTCTTTGACTATGTAACATTTCTTCATACAGATAGCCTGCTGTGAGATATGCCTTCTGAGAAAGAAAAGTTTTCAAATTTGTGTAAGACATATACATCAATTTACAGTTTCAGAAAATATAATTCATTTAAACGCTGTTACTCTAGAAAAGACCTTAAAAGCCATGAGAATTCTCAAATTGATCCCAATGAAGGGCCATACCAAACAAAAGTGAAGTATTTTTTACATTTTATAACTGTAATTCAGAAGCTTTTTTGTTTTCATAAGCAGTGGTGGTAGTTGGTTGCATGCCGTGGAGTTGGTTCCAACTCACAGCGACCTTGTACAAAGTTTCCAAGGCTGTAAATCTTTAAGGAAGCAGAAAGTCTCACCTCCTACGGAACAGCTGGTAGTTTTGAACTGCTGACCTTGAGGTTCGCAGCCTGATTTGTAACTACTACACTACCAGAGCTCCTAAACAGTAGAACCTATAAAGTCAGAACATAAAAGGCAGAAAACCTATCAAAGGAGGAAACAAACTTTTTCACTTCTTAAGAACATACCCTGTGTCAAAGGCAAGATCATCTGCAATATTGAAAAACAAGGTAGTCTTCATTAAGTTCCAATTCTCACAGGTTTCACTGTACATATAAAAATAATTTATTGACTAATAAATAACATATGAAGTTAAGTGATTGTTCTTATTGCGAAATGTCATCTGTAGAGTTGGTTCCGACACACAGCGACCCTGTATAGTTTCCCCGGAGTGGCTGGTGGGTTTGAAGTGCCAACCTTGCAGTTCAAACTGGTCTTGCAGAACCAATGCTTATCTTCAGGTCTCCAGTTAAGTGATTAAAGATGAACAAATGTTGGTATGTTCATGAACTAAAATCAGCACTGTTCTGCAGTTCTCAGAGGCTATGTTTCAACTAACTATTAAGATGACACTGCCATACAAAAATTAGCAATGTTTCATGGTCTAAAGAGTGCATATGCAAATGCGTGCAACGACCATGAAATGCCATAATTTCAAGAAGGCTTATCTAAGCGTTCCATTACTTCATCACTTTTGAACTGCTTCTTTCTCATTTTTCAACTGCAAATTTTATTAGCTTCTTCTTGTTGCGTGCCATAAGTGGATTCTGATTCATAACTAACCTACAGAACAGTGTAGAACTGCCCCGTAGTGGTATCCTACACTGAAATCCTTATGGGAGCAAAACTTCAGGTCTTTTCTCCTATGGAGTCATAGGTAGATTCAAATGGCTGACATTTCAGTTAGCAATTTAGTGCTTAAGCATTGTACCACCAGGACACCTTGTTGTGCTGTTGTTAGGTATCATTGAGTTGGTTCCAACTAATATCAACCCTATGGACAACAGAGGGAAACTAAGGGCTCCTTACGGACAACAGAGGGAAACTAAGGGCTCCTTGACAACAGAGGGAAACTAAGGGCTCCTTAGTATTATCAATTTATAACTAAGTGAGCAGTCTAGTTAGCTCTATATTACAGAGTTGTGCTTATTTTCTGTTTCCAGTAAGTCAACTTCAAGTTAAGTATATATAGTGTTAAAAAACTGAATCATTAATCCACTAATTGATAAACTCACCCAAATCACCAAATACCTGTTTAAACTTACACTTAACTATTGCTATGCTGCATATAATGAAAGATGAATTTTTTTTTCTTTAATTCATTGTTAATACTTGGAGCACATGCTAAAATGGCCTTAAGTAAAAGGTCTAAAAACTTGCATCAGAAGGAGACACAGGAATAAAAGGTGGTTATGTAATGTGCTTCCATGAACAACTGCATCCTTTCTCATGAGACCAGAAGAAGTGGATGATGCTTGGCTACCATTACTGACTTTTTGATCAAGAATTTATAGAAGAATGCTGATCAAAACAGAAAATAATTTCAAATTTTAAGACTCCACAATTTCTAAAGCATAGATTGAAAAGGAACCTTTGAAAATGTGTCTCTAAGATAATTTTTACAATTTAAACCAAAAATAAGCCCTAAAGTCTTCTTAAAACCAAACAATAGTTATACATTAATAAGGAAAAACTAGGGGCTCTTTTAAAAATGATATGAAATCAAAGTGACAACAGCAACTCAAAAGGTAAGATTGGGCCATTAGGGTGCAGTGACTGTACGTTAAAGAAGAAGGAGTAAATTGAGAAAAGGAGGATGAGAATGGTTACACAACTTGAAGACTGTCACTGAAACGTACTTCAGTATAAGCAGAGATGGATGAATTAATGTATTTTATGCTGTATCTATACTCAACAGCAAAATAAAATTACAATAAAAATGTTATAAATACTAAAATAAACAAAAAAAGGGTCAAGAACCACTCATCTCAAAACAATACATGTTTCTTTTTGTTGTTGAGTCAGTTCCAACCCACAGCGACCCTGTATAGCATTACTGAGGAACAGTTGGTGGGTCTGAACCACTGAACTTGTGCTTAGCAGTCCAGTGCTTATTCTGTACTCTGTATTGCCATACCAGGACTCCATATAGACAGACACATATACATACATACACATACACACAAATAAGCTTTAAAAAGTTCATGGAAAAATTCCATTATCTTCTCATTTTCATTTTGCCATAAACTTTATGAAGTCCCCCCATATGTATGTATGGTAGTGGTGGCTGTGTGCCATGCACTCGGTTCTGACTCATAGCGACGCTGTACAGGGTTTCTGAGGCTGTAAATCTTTATGGGAGCAGAAAGCCTCATCTTTCTACTGTGGAAGAGCTGGTAGTTTCAAACTGCTGACTTTGGCTTCGCAGCCTGATTCGTAACCACTATGCTACCATAGCTCCTTGTAGGTCAAGCAAACAGGAGGGAAAAAACTGAATATTCAGAACCATTATTAGAATTAAACATAGAGCTTAGTGTAATATATGTTATGTGTCTTGTGTTTAAGGGCAATAAAAACACTGTCTTATAGGACAACTTAAGTTTTAAACTATCTTAACAGTCTATTTGTGTACATAGTATAAAACATAAAATTTTAAGAAAAGAAAAAAAAGGCTAAAGGACTATTCCAAGTTATATGAACTAGCGAGATATAATTACTAAATGCAATGCATGCTTCTGGATTGGATTCCAACTGAAGGGACAAAATAAAGCTAATAAAGACATTACACTAAGACAATGGTAAAATTTGATTATGCCCCTCAGTGCAAACCCCCTTCCAAGAATATGACTCAATGGGAATACACGCTCTGATTGGTGACCACGCTCTGATTGGTGACCACGCTCTGATTGGTGACCACGCTCGTCACCAATAAGAGGAAGTGAGGGAAAAACAGCAATGAAGTGGCGAGCTAAGCCCTACAATGTGGAGAGTGAAGCATGCAGTTGAGAGGGCATATGCACAAGAACATCCACACCTGCAGATAATACCCACTTGACCTGAATTCAATGACTGGATGATCAAAGCTCAACTAGAAGAAGAGGAAAAAAAGAGTAATCTGACACAATTTGATGAACTTGACCTATACCTATGGATGCA